TCTCCATTGCTTAACCTTACCTCACTGTTGATTTTTTCCTTGGCTTTTGGTGAAGGGTCACCTTGGTCCCGGCTCAGGGATGAAAGGGGATGAGAAAATTCCCACACTACCGCACCTGTGCTCCCCCACCCATGGGGAGAGATGCCGGGAGGCTTTTTCAAATAGTCAGTTGATTTTTAAAAAATTCTCTATTCCTCGCTACAAATTTGACCTATGCGGTTTCTTTGCAGTGAAAAACAAAAATCATTTTTCAACCTAAAATTCCTCAGTATACTTTGGTTGAATTTTTTTCGAATGATAGAATAATCGAATATGTTCGAAAATAAAAATTTCGAATAACCGAATTTCGAGTTTTTCTAAAAACAAAAAATGTCGAATATCCGAATTCCGAATATTTTCGAAGTCAAAAATGACGAATAATCGACTATCGAATATTTTCGAAGTAGGAAAATTGTCGAATAATCGGATGGCGAACATTTTCGAAATGTAAATAATTCGAATAATCGAATTTATTCGAGGAAAAATTTCGGATAAACGATTACTATGTCGAACATTCGAACAAATTTTGATCGAATTAGCACAATGAAGGACTAGATGTAGTGGGCAACTTGAACAACAAACGATATTTGCTGATATAGCAATCAAAATTGTGACGCTGTCACGAATTTAATCGATTACACGAAATTGTCCGAATAATCGAATAAACATTAGAAGTGGATATTCGAATGTTCGAATATCTTCGAAGAACAAAATTTTCGAATATTAAATTCGAAATTGACAAGTTCCGAATGAGCGAATATCAAATATATTCGAGATTTTGAAATTTTCAAGAAATGTTCCGAATAAAATTCATTCGAATACTTATTCAAATACTCGAAAACTAGTTTGATTCGGTACAAAGCATACTAGACAGACTAAAATCATAGTGCAAATAGATTATGAAGCGTAGAAAGCTTTATCAGATGAATGAAACAACTGGTAAGTGAGATCACATTGTCCGCTCATCTTAATCCAAGGTGCTCCTTGAGCGCTTACACAATGCGCAATTAGAAGGCGAGTGCGTTATGAAACCTTCGACGTTCTTCCCTCTACACCAACGTTTCCAGTGCAAATGCTATGCAGAGTATATGAGTTTTTGAGTGAACATCATAGCTCGTTCAATTTATACGGTTTTAACATAAGACAAGCCATGAAGCTGCTAGACAAGTGCCTCAAGTATTCCACATTCCGCTATTCTAGGCAATACCACAGGTAAGTTAGGGGTTTAGCAATTGAACTAAAAATAGCACCTACAGTCAGGGCTCGGCACGAGGTGGCTAGATGGAAATGGAAAAAACGAAGTCCCCCCTGACTTTTGGGAATTTTTACGAAGTCCCCTTTGACCCTCAATCAAATTTCCTCTAAAAACCTGAAAAATTCCCCAAAATCCGCCAAACGAAACGTCGACAAAAAAAAAAGGTCGCCGTCGCCAATTTTCCGTGTCTCTTCGGTCACAAAAACGAAACCCCCTTTGCTTTTCGTCCCAAAAACGATATCCAGCTTGCTTGTAAGCCACCTCGTGCCGAGCCCTGCCTACAGTTGCTTTAGCCTCTATGTCCTAAAGGGAGGTGCTGTTCATTGCGTAAGGTTCTTCTAACTGCCTCTATATCAACGCCTGCAGCACTGCGTGTTCTACTCAGTGAGAAGTTGACACATTTTTGGAATTCTCAACACTCGATAGCGCCAGCAGATTCATCCGCGAAAAGCCTAACGAAAAAGAGCTTTTTGAACTCGAGTGTATCTGTTTAGTGGAACATGGTGTATATAGTAGTACAGATACACTGTTTCCGAACCGACTTGTAAGTAGATACATTATAGTTCAGCAAATAGCGCAACATGAAGCCAAAATCTCTAGAGCCAGCCAATGTATTGCTGCTGCGAATGAGTGCGAGCTGACAACAGTCTTTGTCGCGTACCATGTAAAAGAGCATCACGTCTTCTTGAAAGCAAATCCCTTTTGCATACCCTTCGTTGCGAAAAACCTCAGCAAGTTGGTTAGGGCAGGTCTGCATAATCGGCCCTTCAAGGTATGTCAGCCTCATGAAGATTGCTCTTCTTAACCTCAAGAAGCAGCTATAACGTAATGTGATTATGACAATCTTTGTACAACTCTTGAGTGGTACGTCAGTACAGGCTGAGATTGCACGAAGGCATTGAGAATGGCTCATCTCAACACATCGCAATCATGTAGCGAAGAAGCGGGCAAAATAGGGCGAGCGGTGTGCATTCGGATCAAGGAGCACTTGGACGGACTCGCAGAGAATGGACATCATCAACCCCTTTGGGCGCTTACAACAGTGCGCGTCATGAAAAGCTACG